GATTCTGCTTCCATTACGGCTTGCTGAGGCTTCCACTTTCTGCCACATTTAATGGTCTTACTTGCGTGCCTTACTTTCCCATCTTTAGATGAGAGCAGTGTACTGACTGCCCTTGCTTTGGTGGCTTTAAACTCCTCGGCCACCGACGAGACTGGCAAGGGAAGTTTACAAGTCTTGCTATACAGGTTGACTGCGCTGAATGATGGGGGGACTCCCAACCATTTCCGCAAGTACTTGCTGCACAGTCTTTCCATTCCTTCCACCTGGGACATGGGAAAGTCGTAGAGTAGGAAGGGCCATTTTAGCCGGGGTATGATGCCATACTGGAAGCACCAGACTTTGAATCTCCCGAGCAGTTGGCTGTGCTCGACTGCCTTGAGCCAGATGTTCAGCTGGGCCTTGGTATTAGTGAGGTTGCCACTGTCCTTTAGGGAGCTGTCGTACTGCTTTCCAAGGCATCGGATCCTTTGATCTTGGATTGTTGGGATATCCGAGCCTTGGATGTTGAAAATGTTTCCTGTTAGCTTCCCCTTCAAGATAGTGAGACTCCTTGACTTTTCTGGTTTGAACTGCAGGTGTGACCATGCTGCCATCTTTCCCAGTGCACTCAGGATCCATTGTGTCCCTTGAATAGATGGAGTCATCACTGTCACATCGTCCATGAAAGCTCGACAAGCAGGGTGTCTCGTTCCATCGACTGCTTTCGGGCCTCTGCACTGCATTCCTCCTGCCTTCAACAACAGATTCATAGCCGCTATAAACAGGGCCACGGAAATGCCATGATGCCCTTCTCGAGCCTTTGCCATTTAGTGGTGACGCTTCCTATGGTGAACCTCATCTGCAGCGCATCCATGTGTGTCATTATGAGCTCGACTACCGCTGAAGGAACTTGGTAGTAGTCCATTGCCTTTCGAATCAGCTGGTGCGGGACACTTGGGTAGGCTTTGGCGAGATCCAGCCACACAAAGGAGAGAGTGTTGTTGTTACTCCTGGCTTCGTTAATCAGCTGGCTAATCGCTGCCGTGTGCTCTAGGCAGCCTGAATATCCCGGTATTCCACCTTTTTGGATGCTGGGGTCAATAAACTCGTTGGCGAGCAGGTATGTTGTTAGCCTTTTCGCGATGATAGACCAGAATATTTTCCCCTCTACGTCCAGTAGGGAAATCTCCCGGAACTGTTCAAGTCTTGTGGAATTTAGCTCTTTTGGCACAAAGCAACCTTCAGCGAGGGTCCAGAGCCCGGGTTCCAGCTTCTTCTTCCACAGCGTCCGTAGGAGCTTTGAAAGCCTTTTCAGCAGCTGTGGGCAGCATTTGTAGATTTTGTAGGTGGTTCCTGATGGTCCTGGCGCTGATCCCGCTCTTGCTTTTTCCACCACTGCACTTACTTCATCCATGGTAAAGTCCGCCATGCTAAAGGGGGTGTGTGGTGAAAGAATCGGCAGTTGGAAAGGGCATTCACCCAGAGGGATACTTCTGGAGGAGTCTCCATGTGCACCCGCCATACTGTCTTCTATTTCCTCCTTTGTACATGCCAGGGTCCCACCCTTCGGCTTTCCTAGTAGGTCCACTGTGAATTGGAATGGGTTGTTGAAAAAGGCTTTCCTCTTTCGGCGCTTCTCCCTCTGCTTCTCCCGCATGGTCTCAGCTCTCCGAAGCTGGATTAACCTTTTCCGCTTTTCTCTGCTGATGGCACACCTGGTACACAATGTCCACCATGATCTTGATCTTCTTGACTGCGTCTCCTTTCAGAGTGTTTTCCAGGGTGATATTTAAATCGTCGTCCAGTTGGGCCCATCGGCAGTCTGTTGCTGGTGGTAAGTTCAAGCGTGGTTTCCTCTCAAAGTCTTTTGGACTTTCAGGTTCACCGACTCTCTCTGTGCTCTGAGTAGGTTGAGCAGGGAGGTCTGGGGCACTGTGGTTTGCCTCCTGGCCCTGGTCCTCCCCCACCGACTGATGAACACCCTTAACAAACCTACAGAGGTTACTCTGCGTAAGCTTGGGTGCTCTGCGTTGCTGACTCTGCTCTTTGCACTTAGATTTGCCTTGGTGGATTTTAACACCGCGCTCGTTCTTGAAAAGCCCTCCGCAGATGTCGCATCTTCTTTTGGCTTCGACCTTCTGTCTTTCTGCATCCAATCTCGTAGTCCTTTTTCCATTGTCCGGGTCTTTAACCATTGATCCGTCCGATGGCAGATTATCCCCCCCCCCTCCTCGGTCCGCCTGGGGGTATTCTCTTTGTTCGAAACTCGTAGCTTTTTGTGCAGTGCTTCGGGGTGCTAACCCTGACACTATTGCGTGCCGTCTTTCCGAGCTGTCATCCGTTCTTTCCCGGATGTCCGTGGGTCTTCCCCCACCGCCAATGGGCCTCTCCCCATGGTCTCGACAATAAGGTGAAGTAAACATCTAGATGCTTTGCTACAAGCCGCCTCTGTAGGACCGACTAAACCATGACACAGACCTTCTTCGGAGATGGTATTTTTGGAGCATCCACATTGTTGGAACTCTTCTGCATCATCAGCAGGGGTCTCAGGGTCTCAGGTGTTTCGCCCCTTAACCTGAACACCTCGCCTGAGTGGGGCCGTGAAGAAAAAATTCAGCCATTAATTAGGATGGAAAGATCCAATGCTGTGAATGTTTCTGTTGATCTTCACACAGATGATGGAGTTCTGGAGAATCCCAGGGAAATAACTTCTTTTTTGCTCCAAATTCTATAATTATTGATCTGTGTTGTATTATTTTGATGTTATCTCTGTGAAACGGTATTGTAAAAAGCGCTATATAAATAAAGGTGACTTGACTTGACTTAATAAATACATCAAGATATTGTGACAGTTCAGCCAAATCTATTTTTGAATCTATTAATCAAAATAAAGTTATTCCTTTAGAAGATAAAGAAGCTTGTGATAATGATATATCCCAATCAGAAATTCTACAGGCTATTACGAGTTTAAAAAATAATAAATGTCCCAGCTGTGATGGTTTAACCTCTGAGTTATACAAGATGTTTGCAGAAACACTATCCCCTTTCTTACTGAAATTGTTTTAGGAAAGTCTGGAAGCTCTTCCAGCGAGCATGACTCAAGGGGTCACATCACTCTGATACCCAAACCCAATAAAGACAAACAACATTTAGAAAACTGGAGACCAATTACCCTCTTGCTTAATGATTAATTTAAGTAAGAAGAATTAAAGATGTCCTTAACTGTGTAATCGATGAATCACAATCAGGTTTTATGGAAAAACGTCACATTACGAATAATAATTCGTAACAAGTCATGTCCTAGATATTTAGATTACGAGGATCTCATCCCTACTGATTAATTTCATATTTTAAGCCCTTACCAAATTTGGGTTTGGAAATTCGTTTTCTAGAGCCATCAGGACTTTGTATAGACCATTTCACAAGATGTAAACAACACTGGTCCAGAAGCACTTCCTGTTTCAGTTTGTAACTGTTTTCTTTATTTCACATGTAAAGAAAACATCTTAAAGATGTTTCTTTAACTTTTTGATTCAGTTTTAAATGTTCTGTTGGTTGTATTTTATCCCAGCTTTTATGTAGTGTTAAAAAATTGAAACAGGAAGTGCTTCTGGACCAGTGTTGTTTACATCTTGTGAAATGGTCTATAGATATAATAATAGTGTTATTAAATTAAAATTCAGAATCTCCCCAAGATTCGATCTGTCCCGTGGCGTAAGACAAGGCTGTCCTACATGTCCATATTTATTCTTGCTTGCCTCACAATTTTTAGCTCTGCATATTCAACGTGATCTCATGAGAATACGCATGTATTTTTACGTAAAGTGTCGTTCTATCATGCGTATATATAATTACGTTTTATATGCGCAGAAACGTATAATACTGACGTATTTACAGTACTAAAACGTAAAATATTTACGTATTGACAGCACAAAAACGTAATTTATTTACGTATGAACAAATCCACCGACGTACACATTGTACGCATCACAATTTATGCATATTAATATCGTAGCATTATGTTTTGACTCTATTGCATTCCACTTATTTCCACTATACATTCCATTCTTATTAATGAAGTTTTCAGTTGAATTTATTGATATAATACTCATAAATATTAACATTTTGCTCGTTTCGCCTGCATGGTGTTAAACAATACACTATAAAACCTTAAAAATACATTCTTTAACGTTAGCTACTCGTTCAACCATTTTGTAATAGTTTATTTACCTTGAGACACATAAAGTGTTTTCTCCTATAAAACACAACAAAAATTCACAAAAGACATCAATTTTATTAGTTTGATGGGATCCAAATAGTTAGAATCCATAGTTGTTTGCAAGAAACTCCTAATTAATATTTTCATTAGTAATTTAATTTCTGCTCTGTACTTCATACAAAACTATTACAATACTGCCAGAGAGAAAACTGCGACTGCAACGCTTCATCATGTGAACGGCTTTTGGTATCGGTTTTGACATTTTCGCAATAAATAAATTATTATGATTATACTTGTCTGTTAGTTATGTTTTTCTTAATAATTGTAGTTTGTTACGTAGTTTTAAGGAATTGTTATGGTCTCTCTCTCTCTCTCTCACACACACACACAGCTGGGGTTAGGTGTCTTGCTCATGGACACCTTGACACTTGGTCAGACACCTGAGCCACTGCCTGAAACTGTATCAATAACAGTGCATGAATGCAATGTACATTAGCCAAGCTCTGGAGTGAATGATCTGATGTCACATAAAAATTAATAAAACAAATACTTCCTCAAAGTAGTGAGAACGACAGACAATCTGCATTAATCGACACAGTTATAGGTAATAGTGCTAATAACTGAGCTGACATTATGTTTGCCATGTGTTTAACTCACATGAGGAGTTTCGTAGCTTTGATTTTGAAGGAATTTGCTCTAAAAAAAATTAGGGTGTGTAGAAAGTAGGAGGTTCTGAAAGCATTCAGAGAACTAGTTATTCTGGTAATTCCTGTAGCTCATCTGTACTGTCAAATGACTCATTCAAGGGTGTTTTGAGCAGCGAAACTCTTCATGCTGTTCGCCGATACATGTTAAATGGCATTTGTGTTTATATTATCGCTTTTGTTGATGGATCATATAGAACACCAGGAACCATAACTGGATACGATTATAGATGAAAACATAACTAATACAACATAATTTTATACATTAAAGCACATCAGTTGAAGACAGGACAAGAACATGGGAGGTAAGAACATCTTTAAAAAAAGATGCCTTTCATCAAATCATTGTTATAAAACATGGTTTTGACGTGTTTGTATCTTTGACTTTGAACTATTGCAAGTGTTTCACTATTTAACATAAAAGCTATTGGTTTTTAACTTTTAGAAAATCAGATCACACCACTCACAAAGGGACAGCTTACCCAAAAAAGAAAATGATAGTATCATTTATTCACCCGGATTTAGTTTCAAAACAGTAGGACTTTATTTCTTTATTTCAGCTGCTGAGCATAAATTTGACAAATGTCTAACATTTCCCCTGCAATGAAAATCAATGGGGTTAAATGTTGTTTTTATATGCTTTAAAGACAACATACGTCTGTAGATTTTATTCATTTTCATAACATAAATAGCTTCTGAGACTAGTAATTATAACTTTTTATGGCTGATTTCAACTTTTTTGAGATTAGCAACTTTTGTGATCATGTGTAATCATGCAGGGAAAATCATAATTTCGACTTTTTGAATTATAACTGTGACTTAGTATGTCATAAATACAACTTTTTATGGGACAGATGACTATCAGATACAATTACTTAGTATGTCAATCTCTCTCATCGTAATTATGACTTTTTATCATTATTTATGTGGAAACACTTTACAATAAGGTTCATTAGTTAACATTAGTTCCCTTTCGTAGTCACTTCGAGTTACGTCAGAAATGACGGAGAATGCGAAACCCCCATTCTCCGTCACTTCTGACGTAACGTCTCCGTTCCCTACTCAGGGAAGAGGGTTACATCCGTAACCGAGACGTTAATGTGTTTACTAACATGCACTAACCATGAGCAATACATTTGTTACTGCATTTGTTCATCTTTGTTAATGTTAGTTAATGAAAATACAGCTGTTCATTGTTTATTCATGTTAGTTCATGGTGCATTAACTAATGTTAACAAGATTTTAATCAAGTATTAGTAAATGTTGAAAATAACATTAACAAAGATTAACAAATGCTGTATATGTGCTATTCATTATTAGTTCATATTAGCTAATGTAGTTAACTAATGTTAACTAACGAACCTTATTGTAAAGTGTTACCATTTATGTAATAATTTCATTTATTTTTGTTATTTTGACTTTTTATGCCAAAATCATGATTTAGCAAAACACAATCTTTATATTTTATGGCATAATCATGAGTTAGTATGTGACCATTTAGATTTTAAATGGCATGAGTTTTGATGTCATCAATATGGCTTTCATTTTAATAACTTTATCTTAATCATGAGCAAAATCAAAAGCATGACATTTTTCCTTATTATGATTATATGTTCAAGAAATCATTTAGATCTGTGGGCTTCATAGTTTTTATCTTATTTTAACTGGAACAGTAATACTAACAACAACATATTTCTCAAACAGCTTCCGGGTCTCAGCCTGAGAAAAGGATCGTGCTTCTTGGGAAAACCGGAGATGGCAAGAGCAGCGCCGGGAACACGATTCTCAAACAGCAAGTCTTCAAGAGTAAAGCTTCACCCGAGTCTGTGACGGCTGAATGCGTCAGTGGAGAGCGGAAGGTCGACGGCAGAAAGATCACCGTTATTGACACCCCTGGACTCTTCGACACTGGACTGAATGATGAGACCATCAAATCTGAGATCATTAGATCCGTGATCGAAAGCTCTCCGGGTCCAGACATGTTCACCATCGTCCTGAAGGTCGGGAGATACACAGGACAAGAAATGGAGATTGTGGATAAAATCGTGGAGTGTTGTGGGGAAGACACCTTCAATCATTCAGTGGTTTTATTCACTCACGGCGAACAGCTGGAGGGTCAAACCATTGAGGAATTTGTGAAGGTGAGTCCAAAGCTACAGGAGCTAGTTGATAAATGTGGAGGCCGCTGTCACGTCATCGACAGTAAATACTGGAAAAGGCGGAAAATTGGATACAGGAGCAACAGAGTTCAGGTGAAAAATCTTCTGGAGACCATCGAACAGAAGCTGAAGGACAGTAAGAACGGCTGCTACACCAATGAACTGCTTCAGATAGTGGAGGACGAGATTCAAGAGGAGATGAAGAACGTAGACGAGGTCAATTTGTTGCCAGAAGAGAAACGAGAATTAGCGAAAAAGATTGTGCACAAAAAACTTCTCAATCGGCTCGCGGGAGTGACCACAGGGACGCTGACCGGTGCTTTTCTGGGCATCGGTGTCGCAGTGGCATCTGTCGTGAGTTTACTGAAAGCCACCAATGTTCCCGAGGTGGTGACAGCAGGAGCCGCAGCAGGAGCCGCGGGAATAGCAGCAGGAGCAGTAGCGCTGAAAGCAGGGATTGTTGCCGCGGGAGCTGGAGTTGGATTAGCTGGATCGGGTCTCGCTGCCGCTACAGGTGTTGCTTTCGGAGTCGCAGCTTTTGCCGGAGCGATCGGAGGAGGAATTACTGGATATAAAGCAGCAGATGAGGGCGATTCGGTGTGTGTCACCATAAAGAACACAGCCAAACTCAACTATGAGAACGCCAAAGGTGCGGCGAAAAAGGCAAAGAAACATCAAAACAAACTGTTAAATAATGAGGACAATTGTACTGATTAGGGAACAGAGCAGTTTTTAGTTATTTATGGAATAGATTATATTATCATTGTTTTATGTGCTTTATCAGGCTTTTTTTTGTCTAAATAATGCATTCACTATATTACATGTATAGTGTTGATGTATGTTGAGTATGCGGAAACGTGGAAATAACGCAGAAGTGAATTGTAATAATAAAGAGCAGACCTGAGCTCTACACAAGATGTCAGTAAGTTTGTATACACACTAGGGCTGCAACAACTAATCGATAAAATCGATTATAATCGATTAGGGCTGAACAATTAATCGAATTTGTAATCGCGATTACAATTATGGATGCCACAATTATGTAATCGTTCAAAGGCACAATTATAAAAAGTCCACTTACATTATTCTGTGTGCTTAAAATGTGTTTTTTAAGGGTTTTTTCCCCCATTGTTTTAATTTTAGTTAGTGTAACATTATAATTAGCATTAAAGCAACATTGTTTACTTAAAATAATGTTTCCAAAATCTTATCAGTGGTTCATCAAGTCGTAACAGGGTGAAAGGCACTTCTGCCGTCGCCTGACGGGGTCTGTATCACTTTTACTGGCACTATGTAATAGGGGTGTGCAAAAAAATCAATTCACATTTGAATCGCGATTCAATCTTTACCGATTCAGAATCGATTCATAGAATTCTAAAAATCGATTCATATATAGGCTATATTTTTTAATGGCGTGTAGGGGCGGAGTGGCAATCGGGTGAGTCGGGACTTTTACCGGTGGTCCGGTAGTGTTTCTATGGTTTTGAGGCTGCGAGGGCTGGTCTGATAAATAGTCATTGCAAGTTCTTGCCGCCCGCTGGTCAAACTGTGCAGCCACTCTGCTCAACCCGTAAATAAATGCATCGATCCGGAGATCTTATGTTTGAGTTCTGTAGATCTTTTGCCAAGCGCGTCAGAGGTTACGGGTTCTAAACCGCACTCGTATAGTTTTTTCGCTCTCTCATCAAAACCGAATATGTTCATCACGTTTGTGTGCATTTTATTTTGTGATTTCACCGGAGTCTCCACAACGGCGATAGATTGAAGCGCACGTCCGAGAGAAAACTGCGAGAGCCACAGAGAACACTGTATCCATGAGACTGATCGCAGCGGACACGAGCGCTCAGCTTGATTTCAAAAACAACAGGTCTCTTATTTAATAGCGAACTAAATGAACGCTCTGCTAGTTAACTGGAGATACCCGCAAATTACGCGTCTATGAACGACTTCACTGCATCTAAACAAATCAATCTAACCATAGATGTTACCAGTAGCGGTGGCTTTTTAAAATCCATTTAAAATATTTTCGCATGGGTTCTATGAAATTAGTATATATTTTTAGGAAGTTCAATGTGCCCAGTCGAGTTTACATTTCAACAGTCAACCTGGTAGCTGAAGTAGGCCTACTCCTTAAACCACATTTAGCATAATTGTTTGTTTGATCTGACTACAGCACTTTAAAGCTAAATGTAAAAGCTTTTTATTTAAGTTTTATTTTAAACTTGAATTAAATGTATTTAAAAGCTGGCCAAAGCTTAGCACTTCACACTTTTTAGTTGCAAAAGTTTTTATTTTTGTATGAAGACATATAAAGTAATATCAAACTTTTCTTTTAAATTATGTCTACTGCAATCAATCACATAGGAAAAGTAAACTACATTTATATAGACCTGCGAATCGTTTTTTGAATCGATAATCGTTTTTGAATCGAAAATCGATTTTGAATCGAATCTCGAGACAAAAAATCGGTATCGAATCGAATCGTGACATTTTCTGAATCATGCATCCCTACTATGTAACTTCGGGGTTCGGGTAGGAACCCGGCCACAAAAGGAGCTACAAAATTCGACTGCTTTACATTAAGCGCTACAATAGTCATTATTTCGTTTTTCTTCGTTTCTGATGTTTCAATACATCATCCTTTCATGAAATGTAACATACTCTACCTTGTCTGTGGACATCGTTCATTCTAAAGCCGGTGCTAGATAAACAGTGAGCGTGCGTGCGCGGTAGGCTAAATTATTTACGACAGCGGCAATGGACAATTTCGTTTCCAACCAGTAGGGCGACCGAAGAGGAAAAGTTACTTGATGTTACTTTAAAACCAATAAAAAGCATTGAACCTTTTTCAGGAGTTTTCAGACGTTTTATTTTGATACAACAATTTGCATGCAGTCACTTCGAACAATGGCACAAAGCTGTTCAAAACATCATTCAATGTAAATTTTGATAATCGTAATTAATAATAATTTCAAGGCAATAATCGGCAATTATGATTTTTGTCATAATCGTGCAGCCCTTTAATCGATTATGAAAATCTTTGTCAACGAATGCCATTATCGATTATTTGGTCGGATTGTTTACTGGTGATTGGTTGAAACAGGCCAATCATGATGCCCTCTGTCTTACATGCGCTTTATGAGGCCTCTCCCTCACCGCTCTGCCCTGCACGCGCGCTACACGGACGGTTTAGAGCACAATATCTTCTGTCTCGCATGCGCGCTCATGATTTCATGAGTTTGAACTAATTTGCGGGCACCAGGGAACCGCTATCAACATGCGGGTGACTCCCGGTAGACTTGGGATGTCTGTATTTTGTCTCGTGCATCAGGTTGCATAATCAGTTTGCTCGCAACATATGCATAGCTGTCAACCCGGGTTTCTCACGTATTTTAGCTCCTTTGCCGCTTCAGTATTTTCCCGTATTTTTCCCCGTAAAATAAACTGTATTTTTATGCTCTGACTGTGTGAGACGTACAAGCTCAGACAGATTCGGCTTAAAGTCGTTCATCCTCGGACGCGGCGCGCGCTGTCAAAAAAAAAAAGCTGTACACAGCCATGCGAAACGTGGTCTTGCGCACCCAATGTGTCATTTTTGCCGCGCTCGTGAGGACGCGTCGAGTATAAAGGCTTTACTCCGTGTCAGCGCCCACTCTGATCCGGTGCACAGACCTCTTCCAATCATCTCCAGGACTCAAATTATTGAGTAAAGGCCATTGCACACTGAGTCGAAATTTCCGCGTGCATTTTTTCATGTTCGCCAGCCTAAAAATTCGTCACGCACAGAAACCTTGCACACCGAGTCCGATGCGTATTTATTAATTCTTTGTGGGGAAAAAACATAAAATACAAAATGGATTCGTCAAGCAGTGAGGATCCTTTTGCTGCCCTCTCTTTTATTGAAGAGAGAAGAAAGAGAAAATATAGACCCCTTTTGCGCCGACGTCACAGTTACGTCACGGCGCTAGCAGGAGGCAAAACAAAGTGAAAACGGGAGGCGGCCAATACAAACCAGCACAGATTCGGCTACATAATAAGGAGCTTAAATTACTTTTATTATTATTAAATGTCATCTTATTGTGTTGTTTGGTGCAAGTATCAATGAAAAATGAATATGCTGTATCTGGACTTTTTATTTCTAGAAAATATTCACATGATTAAAATCGCACCGTAATGAAACTCTTTACATTGTCGTCTTTTCTGCGCTGGCTTGGCAGAACTGCGGATCGTACACACAAGTCTTGTAGGACCATATAGGCATCTAAAGATTTATATGCCCTCAGTTTCTCTTTACGATCGATTTCTCTATAAGGTAGGTGTAGAAGTCAGGCCACTCAACCGAGGTAACGTACGCTAATCCTGTCAGATCGTCCATGCATCGAGTGAGCGTGTAGGCGGCTACGGGTCGGCCAATCTGGTTCTGTCTGTTAAAATTAACTTTTGAAAATAACATTCGTTGTCCTGGACACTGAGTGACCTTACACATTAAGATAAAATCAGATTTTCTCCAGTCATTGTTAAAGAAACAAGCTAATAAAACTTGCCAACTAGCATTAATGAAGCAGCCAAAGGGATCGTTCTGCCTCCACCTAAGCTCCGCCCACATAAAAACGTCACCATGTTTACACCAACTGAAAAGGGGTCAATTGGGTCCATTCAATCCTGAAATTGCGCCGAGGAAGGAGAGTTCCACCTCCTAATCAAGGAGTTGCGAATTTATCCCGAGATATTCAAAATTTACTTCAGAATGTCAGTGGGACAGTTTGATGCTTTGCTAGCGATTCTAGAGCCACATATTAAAAACAAGACCACCAATTTCCGTGAACCAATCGATCCTGAACAGAGACTGGCAGTATGTCTTAGGTATCTTTGCACACACACACACACACACACACTGACACACACACTGGCACACACTGAGAGTTTGAACTTATCCTCTTTCAGCCTCAACTGAGGGAACAGGGCCCCTAGCCTTTCCACTGTAAAGTCAAACAAGTGTTTGACTGAACATTGCAGATTTAAGCAAGTATTAAAGCATTCCAGTAGATCAAACAGTAGAGCGTTACCACAAGTTGCAAGACCAAGGTCATGAGGTTTGATTGCCAGGGAAAGCATGAACTGATAAGAATGTAAAATGTGTACCTTGAAATGCAATGCAAGTCAATTTGGATAAAAGCATCTGCCAATTGCATAAATGTAAAAAAAAATTAAGCATACTGTGCCAGGTATTTGTTTGGTTATCAAAAGGGAACTGTCCCCCTTTGAGATAAATTGTTTGTAAAAATGAGCAATATTAATAAAATTGCCTTGCCTAACATTCCACAGCTGGACTACTTCCTGAACTTAAGCCAGCTTCTTTATTTCCTGTCTTACATTATTGGACAAACTCATTAATCCAGGTGTGTCTGACCATTGCTAGGGTAAGTAGTGGAGCCTATTGGAAACTGTTTCTATCATCTACCTGTAAGATGATACCTTCCAGGGGAGTTATGTTAAGACGTGCTGCAGGGTCTGGTACTTTCAGGTCCCTCAGGAGTGGATGGTCGAGGGGAAAAGAGGAGAACATCTGCCTCATAGAAGCTTCTCACAGTTCTACAACAGCATAAGTGTGAAAAAATACATTATAGGTAATATTTTTAGGCACACTACAGCCTATACTCTCTTACTGTCCACGGGTGATATTATAAAATAACTACTGGGTAATATACTTACTGAAAGATTTTCTTCTCGGCTGACACAGGGAGCTCAGCGCTTCTCATGAAGATCTCTTTGTCGAAGCAGACACAAAGAATTTCATCAGCCAACTGATGTCCATCTCTATACTCCACCTCTTTGTAGACTTCACATCATTTTGCACTGAGAGATAGAAAATTACTCTGTTAGTGGTTGGAATTGTGAGCGAGTGTGCGTATGTAAAGAATATAAACTGCTGGACTACTAGGCTACCTTGTTCATGAGTTGGCCACATGCAATGTTGTTACATAGACATCATTTGAATTGAATTGAATTATAGGAGGCCTATATGTATGCAGGGCTGCTCTGATGGTCAGCTGTATCAGGTGGCAGATGCAGCCAAGGTCCTGGATGTGGGGCTGGCTGGTCTTCAGTCAGCTGATGACCGAGTTATGGCGGCCTTTCATAACACTCACATTATCAGAGTTAAAGGCTATGCCTCTTTTTCTATTGGAAACAGGAAAAAAATGCCCAAATATTAGAGCCAGACCGATATATCGGCAGGCTTAAATTATCGGCCGATATTAGGCATTTTCCAAACTATCGGTATCTGCAGTTACAGTATAATGGCCGATAAATGAATATTTCAAAAATAAAATAAAACACGCTTGAACCATGTCGTAAGAGTTGGAGTTGTATAGTTTGTCCACCAGAGGGCACTCTACACTCGTTGAGTTGGTCACGATATATACATTTCTTGAATAGCAATTAAAAGATCATGCCCATCAGTTCTCTTAACTCAAATAAGCAGGACAAAATTTGTGACTATCGTGTCCAGTTTTGCTGCTGTTAAATAAGCCGAGAGTGAAGCGGAATTAGCTAGTAATATTTACGTTACGTTGTTACAGTGTAGTGGACTGACTGTCCTTTTAACTTTTGACAATGTGAGTGACGTATTTCTTTAATAGCGCGTGACAGTTATAGCAATGATGAGACATATCATCTCTCCTTGGCCTGTTATATGAAAATGTATGTTTTACAATTTGCAGTATGACGTTATCCATTGCTAAATCATAGACTAGCTAACCATAAAGCTAGCTAATGCCACTATCATCAGTCTGTTCTGTTGTGACAATAAAAGAAACAAGTTTCTTTTTAAAATGCATCATCATATTATTTTAGTTAAAACTCATAAATAACTACAAATAACTAATGTTAGGGAAATCTGTTAATGTTTTGTTGCGCGTTTCTGAAAAAATAAATAAATAAATATCGGCTGATATATCGGAATATCGGATTTTAAAACCCAAAAATATTTCTATCGGCATCGGCCTTCAAAATCCTTTATCGGTCGGGCTCTACCAAATACGTCTTAGACAAAATGTAAGGTTGTAATTAAATGCAATCTACTAAATATGTCGACAACACAGTGCAGTGCCTCTTACCTCACGACTTGAGAGTGAGTGTCCTCATCGTAGAGTCTAGAAAGGATGACGAATTCTTTGCCTGTTTTTCTGTTGTTCGATTCGTCGCACATCAGTGAAAATGGTTCAGCTAGTTCTGCTGCTGTGGCACCTGTTGAGTGTCCAGTAAATAACTAGTAACTAAGTTAGCCTACAACATGCATTAATGCTGAATTAATGCTGAAATGTTAGAATATTCAAACACATTTTAAACCGTTTTAGCAAACGTACAGTATACAGCCCAGCAGTAAGAAATATAGCTAGGTAGATATATGGCTTGCTAACTTACCTTTGATTATTTGAGTAGCCTTCGTTTTTCCCGTTGAGTATTTTCGCGCAACAGCAGAGTCCGGGAATATATCAGCTACACACTTGTTGAAGTCATCGTGGAAGGAGAAAGGATTGTTGTTTTTGCCACACAGCATTGCCATTTTTACCTCGTCACGTTATTTATCGTCACGAATGCTGACATCGGCTGGGCATGATTTTGTGCCTCTAGCCCGCGCTTGTGCTTGGTGGATTTCTCGTGCTGACACACATCATTCCTTCCCCCGTGTGAGATGCTAAAGTCAGAGTTAAAAAAACTTGCAAAACGCGTGACTGTCCCCCATCCCCATCTTCAGAAAAGTAAATTCACCATCCCTTTGATCGCCGTATTTACAGGACGGTTTTGTTTTTTTGGCAGGCGTGCCTTCCGTCTCTGTCCTAGCGTTCATCATCCGTCTGTTAGGTTTTTGTTTTGTTTTTTTATGAACAACATAATAATGAACAACACCTGTGTGACGCACCTCGCTTCTCTCACGTTCCTCGGCTTCGTCCTGCTCGCCACAACCCTGATTTAGGGTTTTATTTAGTTATGCGCCAAAGTTGTTGCGCCAAAGCTCTGGAACAGTTTACCTTTAACCATCAGGATCTCTCCATCCTTGGCTGCTTTTAAATCCAGTTTAAAAACCTATTTTTACTCTCTTGCGTTCGAATAAGGTCATGTATTTATTTTTAAATTTAGTCTGTGTTCTACGTTGTATATGTCGATACACCAAAGGTTTTGCTACTTGTTTTTATTTCTTTTTACTTTATTTATTTTATTTTATTTGAACTATTTTATTGTACTGGAAAGCACTTTGGATCAACTACGGTTGTGTTAAACTTGTGCTCTATAAATAAAGTTTGACTTGACTTGACTATAATAAACAAACAAAAAATTTTTTTATCCGATTAATCGATTATCAAAATAATCGTTAGTTGCAGCCCTAATACACACATCTACATGTAGGCTACAAGCAGACTGTAATTTAATAAAGTTTATGATTAATTATAAAGTGTCTGATTAATTGCAAATTAATTAGAATTATAATAGCTATAAACTATTTTTAAGTTTTGTAATATGCAGTGAAAAGCTACAGAAATAAACAAACTTGTTTAAAAACAGAGAGAGAGAGCAGTTTTACTCGCCAACCACCAGTTTTGTAGTTATGACCCCTTAAACTTTAACATAGTGTGGTAAAAAAAAAAAATGTAAAAGTGGTCTCTTTGGTTAGAATTAATCACGAATCGATGACGCCATCTACTGTTTTACTCATATATTTTTCTTTTGACATTTCAGAAATATAATATTATATAAAAAATATAATTCATCATCAATCATCAGTGATCTATTTATTAGTATTTTATTACTTTGATAATAATAAATACATCACTGATGAATACCAAAACAAATCAGACAACGATCAACCATTTCCATTGTTTTGTGACAAATAAGTCTTAGACAGTAACACTTCCTATGAAGTCCATTCTTATAATGAATTATTACTCCATTTATACTCATTTATGAACAAGTAGTTCTATTCTATGCATATATTTATAAAGACTCATTCAGACTGCATTATAAGAACAGATAGAGTCACATTCATATTTTTTTAAAATTCTTTATAAATCAATCATTTGCTTTTTGAATGTGCATACTCATAATCTATTACACGCACATTTATAAGTTTTAGTCAGTCAGTCATATGGTTCCATTAATGTATATAGGTGGAACCATTTTATTTATGAATGTATTATTATATGAGTGCTGTGATTTGTTGAGGTCTTGTAGTGTTTAAACTACTGTAATATGGTCTGTCTGCCTATATCGGTCTGTCTGGTAACAGCTGCTAGCAGCAAACGGGTAAAGAAAGTAACGTTACTTGTCTTGCTATCTTGTTGACTGTGCAGTTTTTGATTAACCCTGAGCTTCTAATCTTTAAAAAAAAAAAAAAATATTTAAATGTACTGCTGTTCTGGTGGGTTGCCCACAGCACACATGGGGTCCCAAAGAGTCTGCCCTTGCCACAGAAAACCCACACTTACCCACCACAGCGGCCCGCACTGGCATATTTGCTGGGATATCTGCAGTTTATAATGACAGGACATCTTAAACACACCCTCAGTTCTGTGGTCTGTGAGGAGTGCGAGAAGAAAAGTGAACCCCTGCCTCCAACAAACGCACCTGATCACATCGCTACATATATAAAATGTTAGACTAATATACTCTTTACAAAGTCAACTCCATGATGTTGTAAACATTATCCACCATTTTAATTATATTTAAGAACCATAACCGCAAACCCCGCCGTTTAAAATTGGCGCGGGCGGCAACTTAAAAACGAACTCATAAACAGTTCATTAACACACAACTCCGAATATGCATAATAACAACCACATTCAAACGTTAAGTGACTCAATCCAGCACTAAAACATGTCATCCATCGATATTGACCAGAATCTTTTCTTCATCTATTATATTTTAACACTTTATTACGGAGCTCATCTACATACCTGTGTGGTCTGTCCAAAGCTGCTGTAACGTCTTCTTCGAGAGCGAGACACGCGATTGGGCAATTCAGTAAATGGAAATGACATCTTCTTGCCTCAGCAAATGAGAAGTTTTTGAGGAAAAACATTAAAATATTTTTTTCCCTAGTGAATGGCGCTCAACCTGGGCCATTTTTGACGGTACAAAATTAATATTTTTATGGCTTTAAACACCCAGCTGGCAAATAAGGGTCTTCTCTAATGAAAAGATTCACCATTTTTAGAAAAAAAAAATAAATAAATAATAATATAGCCTACACTTTTTTAAAAATTCTGAATGAAAATTTAACCAAATGAAAGGTATGTTTCATTCAAAACCAAAGCCGGAGTGTAATCTCTATCCCATAAAGTACAAAAGGAACTCGCACAATTATGACCTATGAAGTTTCAGGAAGTCCCTTATACATATGGACAAATTAAAAAACAAACAAACAAAAAAAAAACTATAGTGGTTGTGCCAGTATGTTGTTTTTCAAGCATGGTTTATTTTCATATCCATAAATTATAAACAATACAGTGCTAATTTCTACAGATTAGAGAAAAAACATGAAGACACAAACACCAGATATGCAAAGAGATTCTTAAAATAGCCTACATATAATGTGTTAATATTTTAGACATCTAAATAGTAATCAATGGTGTTAGAAAACTTTAATAAAATCATATTGTCATGACAATTAACAGAGAAATAAAACCGATTTTTAAAACATAATATTTAAACAGAAGATTCACTCAGAAATCACTAAAGAACAAATCAAACATATGAAAGTAAATAAGAAAAATGAAAAACACAAACATTGTCATCATCTCAGTGCTAATATCTGCTGCAGATGAAGTTGAGTTTGCGAGTTTCAGGAAGGCTGATCCAGCGCTGATCTCCTCCAGACTGAACTGCTCCTTTTCTCTTCTCAAGGCTGCAGTTTTCCGGTGTCGTTCCGTTCCCTGGAGCCCAGTTCTGATAGCACACGATCTCTCCGCTCAACCAGAGCCACATGTTCATGCTGCAGTAGTTGTGTAAACCCAACCACACCGCCTCAGTAGACGCACGTTTAACCACATTCATCACACGACGCTGCATCTGGACTGAATGAACCGAGACCAGATCCGTATAATTCTGTCTGCAGTATCTCAGAGCTTCAGTCCACGTCAGAGTCTCAGTGATCAGAATCAGTTTATCTGGACACAAAACACACCACAAGCAAACACTAGAGAGAGACTGATCAAAAACAACATGCAGAACACACACTGTGGAGGAATCTGTCATGTCACACATGTAGCGTGAACTTTAAGGCAAGGCAAGTTTATTTATATAGCACAATTCATCCACAATGGCAATTCAAAGTGCTTTACATAGAAGAAATTAAAATAATCCAAAAAAAGAAATCAGAATAATTAAAACAGTTTAGAATAAAAAATAAGAAATAATGAAAAAGAAAAATTATGATAAAAATAAAATACAGTAAATTAAAACCATTTAGAATAAAATGAAGTGCAGTAACAGTCGGACGAACAGTGGCACAGTGCTCATTCACAGCTAAACAGATGTGTTTTGAGTCTGGATTTGAGTGTGACTACTGTAGGAGCACACCTGATCTCTTCTGGAAGCTGGTTCAGCATAATAACTAAAAGCAGAATCTCCATGCTTAGAGTGAACCCTTGGTATTTCTAGCTGATGTGATCCTAATGATCTGAGTGATCTGTTGGGTTTATATTCAGTTAGCATATCTGCAATATATTGAGGTCCTAACCCATTAAAGGTGCCATATAACATCATAAATCAAATCCTACTCCATATTCCATAACAGATGGGGGCAGTATACCTCCAAAAAATGACTTGTGCTCCTACCATCGCGCATGTTATTTAAATCATTTGACATGATAGTAAAAGGTTGGAAGACCGCAGTTTCACGTGGAACATTTGGAGATTTTTAGAGATCAGAGACTCAATGAACTAAACACTAGAGTGAACTAAACTAAACACTATGAATCTCAACACTAAATGATGAAGACCGCCTCATAGATCTCAAAAACAAGCTGGTGCATTTCGACGGTATGGGAAAATAAAAGCTTGGGCAATTATTTGAAGTTTATGGTATTCGTTTTGTTCATATTACACTTTTATTGTTAGTGAATTAATTTGACAGACAGCATTCGCTGATGTTGATCAAGCTAGCGCCGTGAATTCACCGTGAGACACACGCAATTGACACTTAGCAAGCAGGTTAGTTAAGCTCTCAGATTCTGTCAATTATATTACGCAATTCAAAGAATAAATACCGTTTTGGCGCTTGTACATGTTACACTACAGATCCCTAGCGCACGTGAACCGATCGTCTCTACTAGCTGGAAAAAGAACACGAACACTGGTGAAAGATACAGTATGCTACAACTTACCAAAATGTATTCCTCATGCATAATGTCGACCAATCATTTTTTGAACTCCTCCCTGAACTGAAATGTAGTAATTGGCTGTATTTCCACACGACTGACATCAGGTTCAAGTACACACAAGCCGGCCGGCGCGAGCGCGACTCACTCGTCTATTGCAGTTTGGCTGGTGCTAACGTTGCCCGTCCGCATACCGCCTCCCATGGCCGGAACTGGTATTACGATACCTGCCGGGCCGGGGCTAGTAATTTAGCATGCTAATTCAGGTTAATATCTCGGCAGCACTATAACTTGTCAGTTTTTTAATGACATCTTTGCACTTATTTCTTCTCATTCTTTTGATGCGTGTAGCTCATTTTTCGTATATTGTTACCTCAATTATTACATATGCCACCTTTAAATGATTTATATACCAGTAATAACTTTAAAATCAATCCTAAATGTAACTGGCAGCCAGTGTAAAGACCTGAGGACGGGTGTGATGTGTTCATATTTTCTGGTCCTGCTCAGAATCCTGGCAGCAGCGTTCTGTATGAGATATTTAAGATATCTGGAGGTGATGGGTGGAGTGTGTGTGTGTGTGAGGATCTGCTCACCTTCATGACACACAAAAGGAAACTGGTTGTTGCAAGAGATGTCATGCCATTTATCCTGAGCGTTTGGTCCAGTCACTGCACAGTTTTCAATTCCTCCAACATTATCAGGTTCATAAGAATTCCAGTTTCTGAAAGAGGAGTTACTCTGATCTGACCACTGCCATGGGTCTCTGACTCTGAACAGACCGATCCAGACATCAGTCGATATGTGACTATCATTGATGAACTTCTGAATCTGTTGACTCTCATTCTGGTTCCTCAAACTGACCAGATCAGTGTTATTCTGTCTGCAGAAACTCTGAGCGTCTCTCCAGTTCTTCATCTGATTGACAAAGACGAGTCCTGTGTTCACTTTAAGAAAAACACATGGAAACAGATTCATGAATCAGTTTGTTCATTATTCTTACGCTGCTTTACTGTTTACACAGAGGAAGCATTAGACAGGCTTGAGCTATCGTATGATTAAATGAGCTCTTTAAACTAAAGCCTGGTGCACACTGTGCGTTTTATTCCTTTACGGTTGTTGCTTGTTAAACTGTACGATCATGATTAAAATGGTGACAAAGAAATCTTTAACGTTTATTTTGGTCATGGCTCTTCCTGAAAAACGTCGTAGGAGAAATCACACTGCAGGACTGAGAGTCAAATCTTCTGACCCTGCCAGAATTTCGTCTGAGGTAAAATTGGATTGCGTTAGGCGTAATGGATGGCGTAATGACGTTAAGGTCATTAATTGGCTGTCGTGAACATGTCAAACTAACGATCAAATACTTCAGATTTTAACACAGGATCAGAGGAATCTTTTAGGTTTTGCTAAATTTGTCTCAGATGGCCAAATCTTGGCCAAAATTGCACTGTGTGCACCCGCCTCAAGGGTTTATAGATTTTAATCATATCGTTCTGTTATCTTGTCTTTTATCAATTCAGGACATATATTTGCCACAATGTTATACAAGTACATTTGACTTGGAAAATCCTACATTTTGATGATTTTCATTCACATTAATTATAGTGTTTACTACTGATGCATTATAAAAGCATCTTTTGTTAAATAAGTCTTTTTTGGGTGATTGTACTCACTGTTGTTGCAAATGAAATGCAGAGTATTACTACATCGCAAATCATGCCATTCTCCATTTCTCATGAAAGAACCACATTGACCACATTTGCATGTAAACACATCCTCATCACTCATTTGTTTATGTCCACATTTAGACGTTCATGATGGACAACATTTACATCTCTGACGTGAAACAGGAGAAACAGTGTGTTATTGTTCTAGTCATGTTTCATTAAATGTCATTCAGTCTTATTCATCTGTTAGTTTTATTTAAACCACAGGAAAGTTACACTATAACTGTGTCCTGATTCAGAACTGAATCCTTCTAAGTTCACAAAGGTTGAAGTAATTGTTGTTATCATATGGAGGACTTCCTGTTTACATCACCAGCTGTTCCTGCCCACCGCTCCTGTCGCCTAGCAACTGTGACAGATCTCATCAGGACACCGCAGACACGTTTCCTGACAGACTTTTAAATATAAAGATGAAGACAGAAATGTCTCATGTTTTTTAGAAGCCAGTTTAAATAAGTCTGGTTAAACATGTAAATGTTCATTTTAATCTAATTAGCAACAACTAGTTAACTTAGATTATTTATTGTGTTATTATTGTATCATTACGACTCTCTTCCTCTTCCAACACCTCGTCCATTAGGACGAACCATGGCCCAGTTGCAAAATTTTCCCATTAAATAATAAGTGAACATTTTTGGGCCTGTAAGGGAAATTTGGTTAAAACCCAGCCGACACTGGATGTCAAAATTTGGTTGAAAAAATGAAAACAGGATAAACGTCTAAACAACATGTTTTGTCAAGCTCCGATGTGGTGCAGAATAAACACCACACCACTAGACTGCTCACGTCACGTCTGGTGATCCAGAGACTGTTCTCGTCACTTCTGCCCCATCGGAGACTGTTCACGTCACTTATCCCCCGTCAGAGTCTGTTCACGTCACTTCTACAGAGCCAGTGTCTAGAGACAAGATGGCCGATCCAGAGTCTGTTAACGTCACTTCCTCCGACCCAGTGTCTACGGACAAGATGGCCGAGCCAGAGTCTATTCCCGAGATAGTGTGTGTGCTGTCTGTTCCAGAGCCAGTGTGTGTGTTGTCTGTTTGTTGTCTTTTCCTGAGCCAGTGTGTGTGTCACATACACATCTGGGCCCCAGTAAGATAGACCAGGTCAAACACATCTGGGCCCCAGTTAGATAGACCAGGTCAAACACATCTGGGCCCCAGTTAGATAGACCAGGTCAAACACATCTGGGCCCCAGTTAGATAGACCAGGTCAAACACATCTGGCTCCAGTTAGATAGACCAGGTCAAACACATCTGGCCCCAGTAGACCAGGTCAAACACATCTGGCTCCAGTTAGATAGACCAGGTCAATCACATTTGGACCCCAGTTAGATAGACCAGGTCAATCATATCTGACCCCAGTTAGATAGATCAGGTCAATCACATCTGGACCCCAGTTAGATAGATCAGGTCAATCACATCTGGCCCCAGTTAGATAGACCAGGTCAATCATATCTGACCCCAGTTAGATAGACCAGGTCAAACACATCTGGACCCCAGTTAGATAGACCAGGTCAATCACATCTGGCCCCAGTTAGATAGACCAGGTCAATCACATCTGGCTCCAGTTAGATAGATCAAGTCAATCACATCTGGCCCCAGTTAGATAGACCAGGTCAAACACATCTGGACCCCAGTTAGATAGATCAGGTCAAACACATCTGGCCCCAATTAGATAGACCAGGTCAATCACATCTGGCCCCAGTTAGATAGATCAAGTCAATCACATCTGGCCCCAGTTAGATAGACCAGGTCAAACACATCTGGACCCCAGTTAGATAGATCAGGTCAAACACATCTGGCTCCAGTTAGATAGACCAGGTCAATCACATCTGGCCCCAGTTAGATAGATCAGGTCAAACACATCTGGCCCTAGTTAGATAGACCAGGTCAATCACATCTGGTCCCAGTTAGATAGACCAGGTCAATCACATCTGGCCCCAGTTAGATAGATCAGGTCAAACACATCTGGCTCCAGTTAGATAGACCAGGTCAAACACATCTGGCTCCAGTTAGATAGACCAGGTCAAACACATCTGGCCCTAGTTAGATAGACCAGGTCAATCACATCTGGTCCCAGTTAGATAGACCAGGTCAATCACATCTGGCCCCAGTTAGATAGATCAGGTCAAACATATCTGGCTCCAGTTAGATAGATCAGGTCAATCACATTTGGGCTCCAGTTAGATAGACCAGCTCAAACACATCTGGGCTCCAGTTAGATAGATCAGGTCAATCACATCTGGGCCCCAGTTAGATAGACCAGGTCAAACATATCTGGCTCCAGTTAGATAGACCAGGTCAAACACATCTGGACCCCAGTTAGATAGACCAGGTCAATCACATCTGGACCCCAGTTAGACAGACCAGCTCAAACACATCTGGGCTCCAGTTAGATAGATCATGTCAATCACATCTGGGCCCTAGTTAGATAGACCAGCTCAAACACATCTGGGCTCCAGTTAGATAGATCAGGTCAATCACATCTGGGCCCCAGTTAGATAGACCAGGTCAAACATATCTGGCTCCAGTTAGATAGACCAGGTCAAACACATCTGGACCCCAGTTAGATAGACCAGGTCAAACACATCTGGGCCCCAGTTAGATAGACCAGGTCAAACACATCTGGACCCCAGTTAGATAGACCAGGTCAAACACATCTGGGCCCCAGTTAGATAGACCAGGTCAAACACATCTGGACCCCAGTTAGATAGATCAGGTCAATCACATCTGGCCCCAGTTAGATAGATCAGGTCAAACACATCTGGACCCGAGTTAGATAGATCAGGTCAATCACATCTGGCCCCAGTTAGATAGACCAGGTCAATCACATCTGGACCCGAGTTAGATAGACCAGGTCAAACACATCTGGACCCCAGTTAGATAGACCAGGTCAATCACATCTGGACCCCAGTTAGATAGACCAGGTCAAACACATCTGGACCCCAGTTAGATAGATCAGGTCAATCACATCTGGACCCCAGTTAGATAGATCAGGTCAATCACATCTGGACCCCAGTTAGATAGACCAGGTCAAACACATCTGGACCCCAGTTAGATAGACCAGGTCAATCACATCTGGACCCCAGTTAGATAGACCAGGTCAAACACATCTGGACCCCAGTTAGATAGATCAGGTCAATCACATCTGGACCCCAGTTAGATAGATCAGGTCAATCACATCTGGACCCCAGTTAGATAGATCAGGTCAATCACATCTGGCCCCAGTTAGATAGACCAGGTCAATCACATCTGGACCCGAGTTAGATAGACCAGGTCAAACACATCTGGACCCCAGTTAGATAGATCAGGTCAATCACATCTGGACCCCAGTTAGATAGATCAGGTCAATCACATCTGGGCCCCAGTTAGATAGACCAGGTCAATCACATCTGGACCCCAGTTAGATAGACCAGGTCAATCACATCTGGACCCCAGTTAGATAGACCAGGTCAAACACATCTGGGCCAGAAATGAGTGTTCTGGCTGGAAAACGCTCAGATTTCATCAACAATATCTTCATTTGTGTTTTGAAGATGAACATATGGCTCGGGTTTTGAACGCCATGAGGGTGAGTATTAATGAAAGAACTTTCATCTTTGAAAATGCATACAGACGTGACCTCGGCCACGGATATACCATCGCGTCCAACGCCAGGCTGGATTGCTGAGAGAGAACCACAGTGGACAGTGTGATGTCTCTCGGGAAGCAAAAAAGTCCTACAAATTAATTAATGGTAAATAAGTTGGAGAGGGACCTCTAGAAACTGTTAGAGAAAATGAACTGACGTCACTAGGAATTTAAGGAGTTTTTTTTTGTGAATATTTATCAAATGTTTTTTTTTAAATAGTGTGTGTGTGTGTGTGTGTGTGTGTGTGTGTGTGTGTGTGTGTGTGTGTGTAAAGTAGGAGAGTGAAATAAATATAAAAAGTCCATGCAATGCAAACTGGTTTGTTATCTGTAATATTGGCTTATGTTCAAGAAGGTTCATCTGTTAAAAAGGAACAAAAAAAGTAAGTTGAATCCTTTGCATCATGATTGACTTTAAGATTTAAAATGTACTTTTAATTAGACTTATAACTTTAGAAAAAAAACAGTCAATTATCCGCTACGATACACATGTGTATGTATTTGCGTGTGTGTGGTTCATTAATCAGAACACAAGTATGACGCTTGTAAGTTTATTTAAGCTGGGTCAACACATACAGATTGCAAGATATTTTATTCTTTCCCTTTTTTATTTTAGAATAAACTGTATTTAGATGCTCACAATCATTTTTCTAACAAGTAAAACACAAGAGTGATTATAGAAAGAAGCCACAACACCAGAATACACAGATCCCATGAATCAGCTGACGTTGCTTGTGCTTTACTTTGTTTTTTAATAGCCAATACACTTTATGCCACATCTTTGACCCATGATCTTCTAATGTCCAGTTCAGTGCATGCACATTTGATTGAACAGTCATGTGTTGAAAATGTGTTTCAGTCGACAGAAAATTTGAAATGTAAATTAAAGCTCATTTTGATATCATGGGGTCTTTAAAACACACATATACAGTATATGTGTGTGCGTGTATATATATATATATATATATATATATAAGTACACATTAGGATTTTAAATGTTCAAAGTAAGTTATGTTGATAAAAAAAAAAACACGGAGAAAAAGACTCATAAGAAACTCTCAGATACTCAAATAAGAGTATATCAAATAATATCAAATAAGATACTCTTCAGTTCCGGAAATCATTTTAGTTTGATATATGCTGATCATCTCAAGTTAAAAGACAAAAAAAGATGTGCCAGTAATGTAAGAACACACACATCTCCTTCAGTCTTCATATCTGCTGCAGATGAAGTTGAGTTTATCGTGTTCAGGACGGCTGATCCAGCGCTGATCTCCTCCAGTCTGAACTGCTCCAGATCTCACTGTACTCTCACAGTCCTCGTCTGTGCCGTTCCCTGGAGCCCAGTTCTGATAGCACACGGTCTCTCCGCTCACCCAGAACCAGAGGCCCACAGTGCAGGAGTGACGTAAACCCAACCACACCGCCTCAGTAGACGCACGTTTAACCACATTCATCACCTCCTCCTGCATCTGGACTGAATGAACCGAGACCAGATCCGTATAATTCTGTCTGCAGTATCTCAGAGCTTCAGTCCACGTCAGAGTCTCAGTGATCAGAATCAGTTTATCTGGACACAAAACACACCACAAGCAAACACTAGAGAGAGACTGATCAAAAACAACATGCAGAACACACACTGTGGAGGAATCTGTCATATCAGACATGTAGCGTGAACTTTAAGATATCTGGAGGTGATGGGTGGAGTGTGTGTGTGTGTGTGTGTGTGTGTGTGTGTGTGTGTGTGTGAGGATCTGCTCACCTTCATGACACACAAAAGGAAACTGGCGGTTGCAAGAGATGTCAAACCATTGACCCTCATTCTTAATTATCACTGTACAGTTTTCATTTCCTCCTTGATTATTAGGTTCACCAGTATACCAGTTTCTGAAAGAGGAGTTACTCTGATCTGACCACTGCCATGGGTCTCTGACTCTGAACAGACCGATCCAGATCCGTGATGCAGATAACTTAAGACTACTAATGAAATCCTGAACCTGTTGATTCTCATTCTGGTTCCTCACACTGACCAGTTCAGTGTTATTCTGTCTGCAGAAACTCTGAGCGTCTGTCCAGTTCTTCTCCTCACTGACAAAGACGAGTCCTGTGTTCACTTTAAGAAAAAACACATGGAAACACATGATTCATAAATCAGTTTGTTCTTTATGCTTATGTCGGTTTATGTCTTTAATGTGAATAAGAGTAGCGGTGAAAGCATCAGAAACACGTGGTGTTTCTAGTCGATGTTATATATTTAATATTCAGAATATTCATGATGAGTTTGCTGATATAACATGAAGTAACATTTGTGATTTTTTTGTGATAATTTTATAATAACTTTATATTTTGTATGTTTTGTTAAATGGTTTCTTTAGAATCCTTAATTAAGACACAAAGACATAAATGAGATAAACATCAAACAAATGATGATGTTAAACTGCAGCTGAATATTGGCTCTCTCTTCCACTAGATGGTTCGGCTCGCTTTAAATGGCACCGCCTCTGATGAGGTCCAAGCGTACCGTACCGATACTAACATGTAACATTAAAGCATTACAGGTCACTGATTGGTCAGAGAATCGTCACTACCGCCGTCATTGTATTTGCAACACGAAACACCAAACCCGCTAGATATTAAACAGCCACCGCAGTATTATTTATTCACACAATTTATGACTTGCTTAAAAAAAAAATTACATATAAAAGAAAAAAAACATAAATGGCTGAATCGACCAGGAAAGAAAATTTTTTGTCACCCACTTTGAAGCGGTATAAACTGCAGTGGAAAAGCAAGCCGACCCGAGGTGAATCAGACCATGCAGTGGAAAAGCGCCATGTTTGTTAACTACTCCTGTTACTCAGTACGGTAACGCTTTATAATAATGTTCAATTATAAGTCACTTATAGTTATTGATGAACTAATTACAAAACATGACTATACATTCATAAATGATTGATAAATGTAATGCTAACATTTTTTGAATGTTTTGTTAATTCGGTTATAAGTAACTTAAGTCATTAGTTAATAATGTCTAATCATTTACAAACAAAACTATATGTTCACAAATAATTAATAAGCAGTATACTAATGATTTACAAATGTGTTGCATGTCACCTTTAAATCTTTAAAAAAAAAAAAAGTAAAATCAACTAAATTGATCAGCTCAATAGTGGATGCTTAAGTTATTAGTTGATACATTATTTCTCACTTTATCACATTATTGAAGTATTTATGTCAGAATTGCTTTAGTATCATTATCTCAAACAATGTTTAATCATAAACACATGATGAACAAATCATTAGGAAATGATCAATATTTCATTTATTGATGTATTTTTTTTTTAAATAAAACTGATTTGTTTTGAAGCGAATAAAGATTTTGATAAAATGGTTAGTTCCAATCCTTGAATCTGATTGGTCAATAGCTGTGTTTTATTCATGATAACACACACTATGACCGCTTCACCCGACGGCTCTATGTATCACTGCACAACACTGCAGTTCATATGTTGTGTTTATTTGAGCTTTCAACATATTACACACTGGTGGATGGAATAGAAGGCTTTTAATGATTTTACTTCATGAAAGTTGCACTAATTCTTTTATATATATATATATATATATATATATATATATATATATATATATATTATTGTATATATATATATATATATATATATATATATATATATATGTATATTTTATTATTATATAATATATATATAATATATATATATATTATTGTGTGGTAACCGTTTTATAAAAGCAATAAGAAACTTGAGGCAAGTGCTGTATGGTGAATATGTAATGGCTAAAGGGGTTACTCCGCTCCGCGTCGAGCCTAACAACGCCCTTCATCCGTTACTTATTCATGATACAGCACAGCCTCTCGTACCTTATTGCTCACATAAATCAGGTGCGCAAGTGTGTAAAGACTGTGTCAGAGAAGAGCAGTGTTTACCCTGAATTATGAATTATATTTATTTCACAGTAAACTCAGTACATTTTACTTCGACAAAAGCAGTTGTTGGGGTATAAATAGTATAGATAGAAGCAGTATAAATTATGCAGTACATCACACATTACAATTACAACTACTACTATAGTACACCATAGATCAATGTAACTTTCCCAACAACTGATCAGGAAAACAGATATATTCTATTGTGAAAATGGATCCGCAAGAAGCAATAGCTTATAAATAGGGGTCCATCCCACCACCAACACCTCCCCACCCACCTATCATAGGTAGCCAGAGCGGACCGACTTAGATGCCATTAACAAATAAACTTTCAATTATGAGTATTTGGAATACAGTTACTTTCATCAGACAGAAATAGACAGTCATTGTACCTTTGTACTTTAAATTGAATTTATCCTCATACCAATTGAGAGGGGTTGCCTCAATTCCCTCAATTATATCTCTCCAGTAATTGTTGCTTTAAGTTCTTTTTGAATATTGATAAAGAGGCAGATTGTTTTAAATTAGGGTCCAGCTCATTCCATAATTGTGGGCCCCTGTAACACACACTAAACCTAGCCCTTGTTAGGTTCCTGCATTTACCTTTTAAGAGCAGCTTATGTCTAGTGTTATGTTTGTGTGAAGATATATATAATGGGATGAGCTCACATAATCCAATATTTAACCTGTTGACAACATTGTACATTATGCATGCATCGTGATAAAAGTTACGTTCAGGAAGCTTTAGTAGGCCATATCTATGGAAGAGAGCATTCGTATGTGAGTTGTATGTAGACCATGTAATAGCTCTAATGGCTTTCTTTTGTAATATGAGGAGTTTCACAGTATAAGCAGGGCCCTCACCAGTCTGCACTTACACTGCAGAGTTACAAAGCTTTCTGTATCCCCTAATCTAAAGTGTAAAACTATTTTCAATTAAAAACTATTTTAACTATTTTTAAATAATTATCACTTGTGAATTTGTTAAGTATATATTTTAGATCATGCTTACCTGTTGCAAATTGTGTATATGAAGTATCTTTTATAAATTAATGTTTGAGATTGTATGGAGCTGCACTTACTGTTGTTAGATGAATTGCAGATGAAATTATGCTTGTTACTACATGGCAAATCTTCCCATTGTCCATTACTCATCATAGCACACTCAGCTGTGTTATCAGGTTGTGTAGGTGCCCAGTTCAGATAGAGCGCAGGTTCACCTGAAGACCACTGCCATTTATCAACACCCGCCTTCTTCAGCCCAATCCAGATAAACTGAACACCTCCAACATTCACACTCTTCTCCAGCTCGTTCATGTCGTTCATGTTGTCAACGGTGGCCAGATCTGTGTAATTCTCTCTGCAGAATCTCTGAGCTTCAGTCCAGGTCTTGTTCTCGTTTATAAAGTGATACTGACGCTGAACACATTCAGATACGGAGCAGAGAGCTGTGAAAGAGAGCGTTTGATTTAATGCTTTTCATAACAGGGTCAAACCTGATCAAACTATAAACCACAAACACACTCACCAATGAGAAGAAGAATCAAATATTGAGTTTGCTCCATTTCTGAGGAAAAACACAATGAAAACTCAAAAACTCACATATTCATCTTCAAACTAAAACATGATCATGTACTAAAAACATTTTAGCAGCATATGTACTATCAATCAGACAGTATTCTCAAAGTCTTATTATTATTTGAAGAATGAACATGTTCTTACTTTAGAGGTCGTGTGTTTCTGTCCTGAGTCTGATGTTTCTGTCTGCAGATTTACACTACGTGATTATTATATCTGCTCTCATCCCTCATTCAGGTCAAAACATCATTTGTGTATTTCTCTAGAACTTATTTTCATATTTTGCTTCCTCTGTGTATTTTTTACACCTGTGTCAGTGTAACTTCATCTTTGGATTAAATATGATCACATTTTTTCTTCAATAGTGTTTCTTCATCTGTGTTAAGTCCTTATAGTGTTTTTGCGCATGTTTTGGGTTCTCTTTTTTGGTCTCTTTTGTTTCTTCTGCTGTCACTTTCACAGGCCGTCACTGATTGGCTGTTTTGCCTGTCAGTCATTTATAATGAGTTGAGTGGGCGTGTATTGTGAGGCGGGATCCTCATCATCCTGATGCTTGACACCTGAAGAAGCTCTACTTGATTTCCAATAAATGAGAGTAGATGTTAAAACTTCATGCTGATTTGTACTCGGCTTTCGCCAAGATAAGCAAAACTGAGATGTAGCTTTACAGTAAACTATGCTTCTCCATTCATACATACATACATCTTCTTCCGCTTCATCCGGGGCCGGGTCGCGGGGGCAGCAGTCTAAGCAGAGATGCCCAGACTTCCCTCTCCCTAGACACTTCCTCTAGCTCTTCTGGGGACACCGAGGCGTTCCCAGGCCAGCCGGGAGACATAGTCTTTCCAGCGTGTCCTAGGTCTTCCCCGGGGCCTCCGCCCAGTGGGACGTGCCCAGAACACCTCCCCGGGGAGGCGTCCAGGAGGCATCCGGAACAGATGCCCGAGCCACCTCAGCTGACCCCTCTCGATGTGGAGGAGCAGCAGCTCTACTCTGAGCTCCTCCCGAGTGACCGAGCTTCTCACCCTATCTCTAAGGGATCGCCCAGCCACTCTGCGGAGAAAGCTCATTTCGGCCGCCTGTATCCGGGATCTTGTCCTTTCGGTCATGACCCAAAGCTCATGACCATAGGTGAGAGTAGGAACGTAGATTGACCGGTAAATCGAGAGCTTTGCCTTACGGCTCAGCTCCTTCTTCACCACAACAGACCGGTACATCAACCGCATTACTGCGGAAGCTGCACCGATCCGTCTGTCAATCTCCCGTTCCATCCTTCCCTCACTCGTGAACAAAACCCAAAAATACTTAAACTCCTCCACTTGAGGAAGGATTTCTCCACCAACCTGAAGTGAGCAAGCCACCCTTTTCCAACTGAGGACCATGGCCTCGGATTTGGAGGTGCTGATTCTCATCCCAGCCGCTTCACACTCGGCTGCAAACCTCCCCAGTGCATGCTGAAGGTCCAGGTGTGAAGGGGGCAACACGACAACATCATCCGCAAAGAGCAGAGACGAAATCGTGCGGTCCCCAAACCTGACACCCTCCGGCCCCTGGCTGCGCCTAGAAATTCCGTCCATAAAAATTATGAACAGAACCGGCAACAAAGGGCAGCCCTGCCGGAGTCCAACATGCACTGGGAAGAAGTCTGACTTATTACCGGCAATGCGAACCAAGCTCCTGCTTCGCTCATACAGGGACCGGACAGCCCTTAGCAAAGGACCCCGGACCCCATATTCCCGGAGCACCCTCCACAGGCCGCCTCGGGGGACACAGTCGAATGCCCTCTCCAAATCCACAAAACACATGTGGACTGGTTGGGCAAACTCTCATTAACCCTCCAGCACCCTGTAGAGAGTATAGAGCTGGTCCAGTGTTCCACGGCCTGGACAAAAACCACATTGTTCCTCCTAAATCCGAGGTTCCACTATCGGCCGTATTCTCCTCTCCAGTACCCTGGCATAGACTTTCCCAGGGAGGCTGAGAAGTGTGATCCCGCTGTAGTTGGAACACACCCTCCGGTCCCCCTTCTTAAAAAGAGGAACCACCACCCCGGTCTGCCATCCCAGAGGCACTGTCCCCGACCGAAAAAATTTCTTCTCCATTCATTTACGCTTCTTTCTATATGGTGTTGTGACTCCCCTTCTGAATTTTTGCATATTTTTTTTAAAAACATGTAAACAATAAATACTATTTTGAGGCTCTTGTGTGTCACTGATTTGTCACTAACACAGTCTCATCCCAAGAAGTCATATAACTGACGTCTTGGGACGTCTTTTGACAATATCTGCCTTTTTAGGGCCCCCCTAAACGTCGGGGCGTCATACAACTGACGCTTTACCTTTAACGTCAGTTAGGTGACGGGGTAGGTTTAGGTCTGGGGTAGAGTTAGGATCCCATAACGTCATCTACCGACGTTTAAGGGGGCCCTAAAAAGGCGGATATTGACGCATGGTCAAAAGACATCCCAAGACGTCAGTTATATGACTTCTTGGGATGAGACTGCGCTGATGTGACAGATGGCCGAAAGCCTCAAATGATCATCTCTTTCATCAGAAGGAATATAGTTTCAACCTTGGAAAGATGTTAGTACTCACCATTTTTTTTCAAGGTCAAATCCAGAACGTTAATCTACTAACTCTACTGACAAAAATTGTTATTCTTCGAATTGTGGATTATGATTGGTCAGATCGCCTATCATTGGCAGGCTGTCAATCAAACTCAATGCGAAGGGTGAATTGACAATAAAAAGAGACAAGGCCTACCCTATACATTGATCAATGTATATATTTGTATTGAAGGTTTGATGGTTTCCATTGCTATGTTTTCTGCCAACTGGCAACCCAGCGTGTCTAAATACTATTGGGTAATTTGGATGTGGATGGGATTGCATCATGATCCCAGATGAAAAAAAAAGACATTCTTACACAGCACACACATTTCAAAGTAGAATAACTGGTTGTAGCATTGTTTTTCAGAGAAACTAGTATGTGCATATTTCCTCATTCTCTACAAACAAATTGTGTTTTTATTTAGAAGTGCGAAGTTCATATGAAATATGAAAATAGGTTTTTGAAGAAATAATCAAATGATGTGATGTGCAAAATGAGGGATGAGAGCAGATGTGAAAGTGAAAGCAGAGTGTAGTGATCAGCCGGCAAACATGAGGCCAGACTCCCGTCATCACAACACCTTTAATCTGCCATGATGAAAATGACAGGAGTTTAAAACTCACACTTCAAGCTTCTACAAACAAAGAACCAGGTGGGCCAGGAGATAAGCCTGCAAAGACAATTGCCAGGTATCATTTGTGGAAGGGAAGAATGATGAAATTAGCATGTTAGTGATTACAGACTGATCCCATTTGCCCGTTGTTCACTCCAGTCCTTCAGGCCTTTGTCCAAGGTGTGAATGACCACAGACTCTCAGACTCACCAAACCAGTTTTGCCATTTTGCTTGTAGCCAGAAAGGATGTATTTTCAATGGAAATTGACACAATGCATCAACAGTTCTTCATAAATATTTAAATTACTGTATACTTCAGTGTTGTTTGTGCACATGCAAAATATACAAACTTATCTAAGGTATACCCAAATGCATGGGTAAAAGTTATATCTTACCCAATGATGTTTGGTCTTTATGTTTTCAGCACAATGTCTAGGTTAACCTGAAATTGGTTTTAAGAGGTGAATTTAAAAAACCTTAAAGACATTGTTCTGAACATGAACTTGAAGCTATGCAAATGAACCTCATGCCAAAGTGGGGCCAGACGTATTTGCGCTTTACATGGCAGAATATGCAAGTGGAAAGACTGAACCACCAGACAGAGCGTCTCCAGAGATGACACAGATCTGCTCGTGTGCGAGGATAAAGTGCAAGCAGAACATGAAGTATTTTTCAAAGGACATTTCTGAAATGCACTTTCTGTAAAGCTGCTTTGAAACAATCTGTATTGTGAAAAGCGCTGTACAAATACATTTGAATTGAATTTAGTGAGAATAGACACATACAATTTTAGACATAAAAAGACAACCTACTTTTTACAAAGTCAATTCCATGACGTTTTAAAAATATAATCCACCATTTTAATTGATCCACTACCGCAAATCCTGCCGTTTAAAATTGGCGCGGGCGGCAACTTAAAACCAACCCATAAACAGCTCATAAACACAAAACTCCGAATATGCACAAAAATAACCACATTCAAACACATTAAGTGAATCAATCCATCATTAAAACATGTCATCCATCGATATTGAGCAGAATCTTGACTTCATCTATTATATTTTAAAGGGTTAGTTCACCCAAAAATGAAAATTAAGTCATTAATTACTCACCCCCATGCTGTACCAACCCCGTAAGACCTTCGTTCGTCTTCGGAGCACAAATGAAGATATTTTTGATTAAATTTGAGAGCTGTATAACTACCACATTGGCTCCTAAGGGACTGCCTCTTGACGGCCCAGAAAGTCAATGAAGAAAATGTTTAAATATCCCAAGTGACTACCGTGGCTCAACTATATGTTTATCAAGTGACGCGAATACTTTTTGTGCGAAAAAACAAACAAAAATAATGAGTTTATTCGACTATTTCTTTTCTTCCTTGTAGGCCAGAACGAGAATTCCTTAGATTTCCACGACGCATGCGCGAGATTTGCGATCTGCTTTACACTACTTCAGATCGCAATTCTCGCGCATGCGTCGTGGAAATCTATAAGGAATTCTCGTTCTGGCCTACAAGGAAGAAAAGAAATAGTCGAATAAACTCGTTATTTTTGTTTGTTTTTTCGCACAAAAAGTATTCGCGTCGCTTGATAAACATATAGTTGAGCCACGGTAGTCACTTGGGATATTTAAACATTTTCTTCATTGACTTTTTGGGCCGTCAAGAGGCAGTCCCTTAGGAGCCAATGTGGTAGTTATACAGCTCTCAAATTTAATCAAAAATATCTTCATTTGTGTTCCGAAGACGAACGAAGGTCTTACGGGGTTGGTACAGCATGGGGGTGAGTAATTAATGACTTAATTTTCATTTTTGGGTGAACTAACCCTTTAACACTTTATTACAGAGCTCATCTACATACCTGTGTCGGTCTGTCCAACGCTGCTGTTCTTCGAGAGCGAGACGCGATTGGGCAATTCAGAAATTGGAAATGACATCACTCAAACATAAAACTCAATATATAATTTTAAAACAGATATGAACGGTTTTACCCGACTCTTCAAAAAGTATGAACAGCAATATCTGCACAGAGACACAACAATAAAATGGAAATAGATTGAAATTATTTCTATGGGGAAGATGGCATAAAGCTCACAAAACTCAAAACACCTGATTAGTTTTATATATATATACACACATATATATGTCCTTAAAAAAG